ATTCATAGATACCAGTGCTCTCATCAGATTAATGCTAAATATTATTAAACGCCGACTGAAAATACTCTATTTAAGACTTATCAAGTTACCACGTTTAAAAAAACTAACTAAAATAATTATCAAGTTTATTAGAAAGGCTTTAAACTACAATTTGAGAAGAATAGTTTCATTGCTTACTATACCTATCATTTGAACACAAATTATTATTTTAATCTACGATTACTTACAATATCCGACCGAAACATCCATTCAAGTGATCGGTTATAACGATATCTATAATAATAATCGCATTAGAATTGAATCAAATCCTGCCATCACTTTATGCATTGAAAACAATTTTGAAGACATATTAAATAATCCGTATATTAAACAATATTATCTTGATAATATATTGAAAGCTGATAATTTTAAAATGTGCGCGGCCAATAATTACGCTTATATTGTAAAAGTTCCTTATAATACAAGTTTAAGCGATAATTATTTTAAAAATGTTTTGCTTATTATATGGAGTGTAACATAGATTTAGGGCGTTCAACACATTTTTGGGAATGGTATGCATATATTTTCAATGTGATCAATGTTAATTCGTACCAAGAATATCGAAATCGCCTTGTTGCAATGAATTCAAATTTTGTCAGTTCCACATTAACTCAATTAAATGGATATTTTAAAATTATTGCTTGCGTTAAAAATAAAAAATGGGTTAAAGTATGCGAGGGGATAAATGTAATTGGGAAATATTTATCGCCCTTAGGAAAATGTAAAACATTTTTGCCTGGCAATTTTTTAAATCAAACTATTTACCTAGATACTAACGTACAAGAATTATACCAATTTAGACTATTTGACGACATAATTAACAAAATTAATTTTTTAAAACTTACATACATAGTCCACTCACAAAATACATTATTACACGTATACGACAATGACATAGAATTTAGAGATAATCCAAGTAAATCTTCCAAGCTAATATCGCTAACTCGCTATCAATTTCATCGTTTGCCAAAACCATACGACACTCGATGTCACGAATATTCCGCAAACGATACACAATCTCATTGTCTCAACAAATGCTACCAAAAGGCATACGAAAGTCAATACAAATGTATTCCCAAACAAAACAGTTTACTAATCGTGCGGTTTATCGATCGAGATATTGAACCTAATGTTACCTTTTGTACAAACTATTCTATTATAGCCGAAAGTGATTTTAATATGAACATGGTACAACAGTGTCTCATTCATTGTCCCGTTTCGTGTTTGAAAAGCATTTACGTTTATGAGCTAAATGATGTTCATAAAAATTCCCTCACCGTCAAATTTAAACTTAGAGGGTCGGCATATATTGCGATAATTTATAGTAAGAAATACACATTTATAGGACTCATCATAAGTATGGCTAATATATTGAGTCTATGGCGTGGAATCAGTTTCATTGGTTTACTCCGAGATATCATTGCATTCATCCAAAGATTTCTATATAATTCTCGTATTAATACTCTATTTCTAAAAATAACCCGAAAAATAACAAAATCACTTAATTATACTTATAATATAAAGGTGAGATAATTTGAATTTCAATAATTATCAATAGTCATGTCTTATTTTACCAAATAGTTTAGTAACAATATTATTATTATTATTAATCTAAATGAAACTAAATAATTTATATAGTAAAACTTTTACTAAGTTTAATTTTAATGGTTTAATATAACTATAATTATTATATATCACATTTATCGGGGTCCGATATTCTTAATTTAGCATGGTTAAACTATTTAATCATGTAGGTTTTAATTGAATAAGAGTTGTACAGCGAGTGACACCCAATTGATAGACAACTGGTATACATTAATATAATAATAAGTTACAGTCTTATATCATATGTTGTTGGAAAACTTTTATTGATTTATTTTAAGAATATATTTGAAAGGGTACAGGATATCAAATAATGTTTTATATCACTCTTCAGTATATTTACCCCACCCTAGGTGGATAGCCCTCCAACGATCTGGAAGCATGCTAATACCTTTAGATTCATGGTTTTCATTTATGTCCCGAATTGTTGATTCGTAATCACGAATGAGTTCATCTCGGCTTTCAAATTGTTTTCCCTTTTGTGGAGCTTTTATACGGTGTATAGTATCCATGTCCGGGGGTGACATATCAGGGCTATAGGCGGGGTGTTCCAACTCCTCCCATCTTTTCTGTTGCAAAAATTCCCTAATAATACGATGCTTATGGGGCGGAGCATTATCATGTAAGATGTATGGGCGTGGCATATGTTTTCGCGTAACCTCTGGGAGTACACGATGTTCGAGAAACCGTAAATATGTGACACTATCCACAGTCTCTCCGTTCTGTAAAATCTGATATGTTAGCACTTGTTTTTTCCAAAGTGCTATTATCATCATGTATTTCTTTTGTTGAGGTTCTGGCTTCAATATCTTCGGCCTATCTCATATACAAAAAAAATCCGGTGATAAAATATATTTTATAAAATTGAAAAAATATTTTTGTTTCTACTAACGCCTTTTGCCTGGGGAGTAACCATTCACTACTTGATTTTGGATCTTCAGGGTCATATGTTTTAACCCATGTTTCGTCAATTGAAATTATTTTATCCAGAAAGCCAGATTCCCGTTGATAACGTGCAAGGTGTTTTCCAGCTATATTCATACGAGATTGCATTTGCCTTAGTGTTAGTTCATGAGGGACCCATCTCGACTTTATTTTACGTGCACCAATTTCTTTTAAAAGTCTATGTAGGCTAGCTTGAGAAAGGCCAGTTTCATATATGATATCTTCGGTTCGCATCCCATCGCTCTCAAGAATTAGCTGTTTTATGGTTTCTTTATTTTCTTCACTAGTGGCTGTCCTTGGTCTTCCTGGTTTAGGCAAATCACTAATATCTGTACGCTTACCATCTTTAAAATCCCCATACCAGTTATATACCGTACTTTGGCTTAGATGACCTTCAGGGATTGCGGTCTGCAATTCGGCCGAAACTACCCTAAATGACCTATCAAGTAGCACACTAATCTTGATAAATGCCCTCTGTTCTTCATTAGTAACACTCTCACGAAGTTTGTCTATTTTTGAGGGGTTAATTAAATTGATTGCCAACGTGGCAATAACAAAGACTGTTATGTGGTAAGCCATTATAATAATGTAGTAATTAATGCTTATTCATAATATAACAAGTATGCGTATCTCAATTAAATAATAAAAAAAATAGACCTTATCAAAATGTTTCCAAGGTATTCTGATAACAGACTGTACTGTAGTGATATTGATGTTAAACAATTAAATATTTATATTGATTTAAACAATCGCTGGATAAGCTCATTGAAAAATTGATCATGATGCTTTAGTTGTGACACAATTAATTCAAAACTTGTATCCTTAACAATATTCCGATCTATAGCCCAATCATTAAATTTATGCAAAACTTGTGAACATTCAGGCCTTCGGTTCCATTGAGGGGTTGACATCATTGACAATTCATTTACTTTTGTGTTTAGAATTTCATTCCCGGAGTAAATGCCTTCAGAACTATATTTGATAACAAAAACATTAATAAATTAAAATAAACAGTTTATAACATACTTATCAGGGTAAAACAAATCAAAATCAATTAGTTCTGCACGAATAATAGCAAGGCTATAAATGTCTACTTAGTGTCCGTATTTACCACCATGGCCTATTTCAGGCGCTTGATACTTTATTGTGCCCACACCTGCTGAGTGCTTATCACGAGTTATATAATTGATGTCTTTGTCGTGAACTGTAGCCAAACCAAAGTCACATAACTTAACAAATCTACCGTTCCGTGCGTTCCTATCGATCAATATATTATCGGGTTTGAGGTCTCTGTGAATGATCTGTGGATTCAATTCATGCAAATACTGAACACTTTCTAAGATTTGTCGCAATATTTCACAAGAAATGAAATACTCGACACAATCCATGGCTTCTCCTAATTGTCGACCAAATACTTGTGGTTTCACTTCAACAATATTCCGCAGATTCTGTGAACAGAACTCCATCTGAATGTAGAGGTGTTTGTCTTCAGGCCATGAGTTGTAATACTGAACACAATATTCTGAACGAACGGCTCCTAAATTCCGGACTTCTTTATAAACTCGTTGTAAGTGTTCCTCAGAAAAGTCTGAAATAATTGAAAATAGTTTTCAAAATGATTTTCCATTTTATAATACCTTTAATTTGGACGCTTTTGACGGCATATATGTGTTCATCGATTCTGTGCTTTACTTTATATACGGTTCCAAAACCTCCGGAACCGATGGCCGATAACTCAATGAACAGACTTTTGTAATGATTGATATTTATATGCAGTGTATTATAACTTTTTTGCCATTCAGTTGCATAGAAATCTACAAAATTATTATATTTAGATTTTTTCACTTTGTTTGGTGAGGAAAGTGCGCAAATTGTGTCATCAGTTTGTATTAATACTGCATATCGATAAACATATGAATGCATTTCCTCAATCTGTTGAACGTTTAATTTGATTGAAATAGGTCTGGGTAGTTTTTCTATTTGGACTTTTTCCATATCATCAATATATTTGCCACAAAAATAAATTATATTACTATTGGATAGAAAACATGTGAACTTATTTTCTATACTATCTATGGAACAAATAGATTTGATATGATTTAACTGTGGAATCAATTTGGGGGTCAAATTTTTTTCCGGTGATTGGTGTCCACAATGATGGGCACTATTATCCCCCCAACTAAATACCAAACCATTTAAAGTAATTGTGAATGAACTCGCGAAACCACAAAATATATTTTTCATTTTATAATTGTTTTCAAATTGTATCAAAACTGGTGAACTCTTTATACCATATTGAAAGTACCTATTCCTACATCCTATTTGTCCCTTACTATTGTCGCCCCACCCGTACGCCTTTCCATCGGTCGTGAGCGCCAGGGAATGCAAAAAAACCACAACAAATATATGCGATATTCTTGTCATTTAATTGTGATATTAGTTGTGGTTTTAAATAAACCCCTTCTGGTGTCACATCTCTAGCACACTGTCCCTTATGATTGTGTCCCCAACTGAACACATGGTTGTCCTCATTCATAGCCAACACAAAGTCCGAGCCATTGATAAACTGTTGGATCCGTTGTCCACACAATTCCCGTATAATTAGTGGTGTTTTTACATCCATGTCATGACCAAAACCCAGACATCCCATACAATTATCACCCAATCCATAGACG